GTTTATGAATTTGAACAAAAAAAACGATTTGAAAAATGCGGGAATTACTGTGCAGTGTGCTTCATAGGCCGAGGCCGAATGGCTTCGTAATATTTAGAAATACGTGGAAATTGCGTAGAAGGCGCTATACCTGGCGGCTTCCAGAGGCGCTCGGTTGGCCGTAGCCAAACGGTTTGGACTTGGTGACAGCAAACGCAACTTTAATTCAATCTCTGCCAGATCTGCTTCGGTTCAAATTTCGCGAACCTTTTCATTATCATGCCTCGTTGAACTGCTTTAAAAAGGGCGTTCAACAACTGATGAACCCGCTGCATGTAAATGCAGGCACGTAATTGGGGTACATTTTTCGGGGGGGGGTATTTGGGAGAGCCCCTAATTTTTTGGAGGTGGGCGCTCAACGATTCAGGGGGGCATACGGGGGCCACTTTAATTTGGACCAGTAATATCCGCACCATTTTCGTGAAGGGTATTACATTTTATCATCCATCTACGGTTTCTTGAATTTATGACAGAGAGAAGATTGAACATTGTAAACAGACACCGTATCTTCTGTGTATATGTCTATTTGCCCTGTGTCACACATTAAAAGCGATGATCTCACAATTATCGCAAACTTGGTCAGGTCAACGGTGAAGTTATCAGTGAGCTTTGAGAATCACATTCAACGTTTTGAAAGCCACGTACATTCGAGTATATTTGAATCTCCCTTGATCTTTTGGTTGAATCTATTGTTCATGCAGGCCTATGCTTTGGTTGAATAGCTCGGCAAAGGAATAGGGTCAGTGTGCAAAAGGTACGAACGATAACGCGCAGTTGAACCTTCTTGAACGTTTATTGCCTGAGACCTTTTAAATCAGACTTGAAGTTCACTCCTATTGACCTAATCTATTTATTCTTTCTGGTGATAATAAAACCGGGGGTGCCTCAAAAGTGCATGGACATTGTAGCCCGAAGGCCACAGAAAAAATGAAGAGAGAAAAGACATTAAGGTCCAGCTTTCGAGACGGGAGGAAAACCCTGAAATAAATACCTATGCAAGGAAAACCAAAAGAGTTATAGGTCGACTGAAAGCCAAAACCACATGACCACCTTGGTGAGAGACGAACCCAGTCACAGAGACGACAGGTGAGGAATTTGTAAAACATTTTACAATATGCCCAAGCTTTTCTGGACAAGTTAGGGTGTTGTTTGTTACTGTTAAGTAAATCAAAGAAGACAATGTTCAGCTCACACGTTTTCACATCCAAATTTACTTTTTGAATCTTCTTCTGAGAAAAGGTTATTTGATGGCTTATTGTAGTATATTTACATTTTAAATCGCCGAACAAACAACAAAACATAAACAGCCCAGCTTTTTTTGCACAATTCAATGCTTCATATAGTTATTGCCTTAGATGACATCATAGTTTTGCACATGGATATTCAAATTTACATCAGTATAAAAACCAAAAGTTCCGAAATACAGATTAAAATGGCCAAAAATAAAGACGCAATTTCGGGGCTTGGAGTGAAATAATTGTATATTACATATACATGGCCCCTTACCCTCAGTTGTTACATAAACGTTCATTCTACGGATTCATTCGTTTCCTTTTCATAGTGTAGGGACTTTTGTGGGTGATGCACTTTCAATATGTGTCATTCGTCCGAATGACGCGTGACGATGAATGTGAGAGACCCCCCCCCAAAAAAAAAACAAAAAAGAATGAAAAGAAAGAATGGAAATTTAACAATTAAAGAGCGCAATTACGTATCCTCAGAGCAAACACTGACACCCATTATTATTCGTATAAAGAAGTGTTTAATTTTTATATTCTAATTTCTGTGGTACTGAATGAAGTTTCTAAATTTACAAAGGTTACAATCTCTCGCCTCGGCTTATTAATTAGCATGCACCATAGCACAAAAGCAGACTCTTGCCGATAACTGGATATTATTACACAACGTTCCAAACACACTCAGTGATGGTTTTTGTCCCTGTTGCCGGTGACAGGACGGGTGAGTGCCATAGGCTACAGGGGGAGGGGTACAATTAGTCTTAGACTCTTTACTACACTTTGTTACAGAAGATGTAATACGGGCGGCTCACAATAGTGCGCCACCAAGAGTTTGCAACACGTTGGCCAATCATAAGGCGCGAAATTTGTCGACCCTTTCCTAACGCGCATCGGGTCGACAAATTTCGCGCATTGTGATTGGCCAACGCGCTGCAATCTCTTGATGGTGCACTATTGTGAAACGGCTGTATTGTGCTCGGGCGCATAAATCAGCTCATATCTTAGGCCGTGTCCGAAACGGGCTTCCAGAGCTACGGCTAGGTCTATTGTCTACGCGTCTCCACACATTTCCAATGGAGTGAAGACCTAGACCTAGCTCTAGACAACAGATTCGGATGCAGCCTTACATTACTATTCCAAGGCTGTAACCGACCAAGTGGATGGATGACGCCCACTCCCCCCGGGACGGGGGGGGGATTTCACTAAAGCTAAAAACAAAAAAGATACAACGAAGTACGTTTGACTGTTTTGTTTTGTTTTGGATTTGTTGTGCTTGTCACTTTTTTCTAAATGATACAACAAACGAAAAGGAATGAATAGTTATTTGTTTTTCTTCAGATTTTTTCAATTGGACGGTAAAGCATGTATTTATGTTAGCGTCCCCTAACACCAGAAAAAAATGGTGAAAAATGTTAACATTTCAACTAATTTAACTAATAAACTGTATATATGACTAAAATATATATATATAAAATACTTGCAAGTTGGGATTTTGAAGTTTTTTAAATGGTCAAACGATCTCCAAACAAGTCTTCATAAATAATAGCTGCGTCTGGATTCGTGGCTACGTCTGTAAATCCCACACATCACTTAATAGGAAACGGCTTTATTTTTTAGTTCTTATTGAAGGTTCTATTCTTACTAAAACACAACTATAATATAAACCCACAGTAAATGTCCAGTTCTCTTGTCCAACTTGTCCTATTTATTTTTTTATAATCTTTGAACAAGTGTAAAAGGAAAAACACCGACCCGCCACCTTCTTTCCCCCATAGTAATACTGAACGGGGCTGAGCACGGTACGATCTCTACTGCCCGAAAGCGCATGATTTTTACCATTCAGTCAAGCAGTGGCTAGTGGAACAGTCTGTGTACTGCAGGTCCGCAACTTACGTCAATCCATAGTCAGACTCTTAACCACCCAAGGTCAAAACAGTGGATGAAAACACATGTATTCCAACCTTGTCCGGTAGCTCAACATCGTCTACCAATCATCACCCCAAGAAATGATGTCATCGTACTTGCAGCCGTCAACATGAATTATTCATCACTAATCTTTTCCGTATACGGGTACGGCCGGCAATCCCATATTGAGTTGCGTCAACACGTACGTACATGTACGGGTGTATGTACATGTACTGTACGTGTACATGTACGTGGTGTACATAGTGCGTTATTGTTTGATCTTTCCCATCCCCGGGCCGGGGTTGAAGTACAATTGAAAGCAGCCGTGTCTATGACCCGTACTCGAATTAGTACCAGGCTGCACTACCAAATTTAGGATTTTGTAGGCGTGCACCGGTAAGCCCACCGCTGACATAGTGTCAGTGTTCAGTGACCCGATTGGCGCGCCATACACATTATAGTATTGGTTCTCCATGTACCAACCATTAATCTCGAGAACAACCCGCACAATACACGGTTCACAACTTGTGGACGTCACACTCTATACACTGGTCTAGTACTGACATTGATTTCACTGGAACATATCGCAACAACCATGGAGGTTTTACAGGGACAACTGAGTCCGAACATGAAAATGGATGTAACTGATGGATCCGACATCAAAGAGCAAACACAGAAGGTAGGGGCCGGCAGCGCTGTATGCGTAGACTCATGTAACCTGACTGTGGTGTGTCATGTGATGACCATGTTATTGTGGAGTGTTCAGCGTTGAAATTTGCTAATGATGTAGTTATCATGGGTAGCACACATGTACATGTACAACCATCGTATGAACTGTATAATGCATATATGCACACCAGAATGCGGTTTCAACCGTGTAAACCGCTTCTTCTTTTACCATACTTAAACCGTGTTAACATGGTGGTTCACATCATGGTTTTCTCATGCTGTGGATCGCCTTCGATGTTACGATCATTCATGGTACATGTAGATCGACTATGCTACGATTCACTGCAAGCATGAGGGTATCCCTCCAGGTTTAACCCTCGTTCACCGATTAAATCGTGTTGCAACTGAATTTGATGTTTTCATTGATAATGGTCTTTTCTGTTTTGAATTATAAGTTGCCACCAGGCAGGCAAAATGGCCGGTACATCATGGTACATAAATACATGTAAGGTGTATGATATGGCCCTGGAACTCCATGCATGCAACAGACTAAATGGCACTAAGAATTCAAAGTTAAGAACCCCCGTTAACGCCTTTTTCAATGAGTCTTCTTGTTTTACCACATCTGTTCAGAGTTATTTCAGTGAAATTTTAAATGCTTCTCAATCTCAAATTAATTTTTTTATTATGAACTTGCAACTAGCAGTATAAATGCTGGAGATATTTTTCCCAAGAGACGAGACAGTATAGATAGCTACGTATATGTATTTTGTGATTAACTAAGTAGTCTTCATTTTTAAGGTGCTAAAAACTGTCAGAGTTGCAAACAGTGTGAATGCAACATCATTTTCAACATTCATTCATTTTTCTATATGCTTTTCCATTTGTTATCATTGAAATTTATTTGATTTCAAATCAATAATGAAAGGCCAACAGGTAACAACAAACGAACAAGCACAGTTTCATCACTTTATGCAATGGCATAACGTTCAACAGAGTGATCGGCAGTGATGTGTCTAGTGGCAGGGGGGAAGTTTTGACACCCCCCCTTATTGAGAGATGTTGTTGGTTTCTCCTTTTTTAAGAAATTGAAATTATCAGCATTTAAGGGAACTGCATAACCACCGTGGTGGGTGACTACAAACGTTACAAACGAAAAAAAGATGGACAGTTGTTTTTTAGAAAAAAAATCCCATTTGGTCCCCCCACCCCCATATATAGACCTCGATACATTCCACGGTTGATTGGTTGCCTGGTGAAGTTGGTTCTCCACTCTGCATTGTCTTTCACCATCACTCCCAGAATTCTAATCCATCTTGTGTTGTTTTCCTGCGGACTGCATGTGTAGTGCCAAACTGCATCACATCCTCACGGCAAACATTCCCTGACTAAAAGAAGGAAGATGCATAGAGGCTGCTCGTCAAAACCTGAAATTTAAGTGAAACTTTCTGTCACCAGGATCGAGTGATTTGTTATTGTTTGCTCTGACACAGATGTGAGGCAGTATTGCCAGACACATCAAAAGTTTGGAATACAAATGACTCAGGAAAAGTTTGTAGAAAAATGCCATACAAGATACTGTACCATTACCCCCAAAAGTCTGATTTTGTTGTTTGAAAAGTGTTAAAAACCTTATTTTTATAAAGCTGAAACAAACTTCAGCTGCATGTACATGTACAACCACGAAATTGATTGAACATGAGCATGCAAGGTCAAAGGTCAAGGAGTGTGGGTCCTTCCTAGTGCAAGCGGCAAGAAATCGATGATGATGCAGATTCTTAAAATTGCACCTCTTGCAAATTCTTTTTAAGGGAACAAGTGCATGCCCTGTCATGTTGTTCATCTTTGAGGTGGCAGAAGATGTTTTTGTGAATCCAGAAGGAATTAGTTTGTAGTGGACGATGCTCGTAATTAGAAAGTGAAAATTTACTGTACATAAGTAAACTGAAAATTCACTTCCAATTAATGAAACAAGAAAGAATCCATATTTTGAGTGCAACTTTTGGACTCATCTATAATTCACTGTAATTACTTTTGGAGTTTTTGCTGTTGAAGATATTTATTTCAGTCTAACTTGGATCTTCGATTTAAATGTACATGTACCAACCCGCGGTTTTGTTCCACAAAAAAAGATAGTTCATCCTCAATCCTCAGGCATAGTGGTAGACGTGAAGTGACTCAAGTGAACAAAGGTTTCTTAAAATTATAAGCAAGTGTCCATGTTGAGTTGCACCCTCTTTTTTCTGTACTTTTGTGATGGATGCGTAATCAGGAAGTGTTCTTGTGACTCACTGTCGCGCCACCGAATAATTGCTTTACATTTTGTTTAAGAAACAAGGTTACAAGGTGATTTCATAGTTTCAAATATGAGCTCAAAACATCGGACAAAGGACTGTGTTATGAAGAAATTTACTTGGACGTTGTACAAGCCTTGATGGATTATGAACTTGCGAAGCAATGTTTTATGGGATTTACATGCAAATGGTGACTCCTTCAATTGGGTGAATTTCCTGAGCTTTTGTGGAAGCAGGTTAAGAGAGAACTACATGTTTGTTGGATTAAAAAATCAAAAGTGAATGATGCGCAGTCGTTTGATTGTTAGTCACTGAAGTTGAAGAATGTTATTGTAGAAACGATGGTCTTATTAGTCACATGAGGAAAAACTAGACATGTGTTGGCATGCTTTGACTTCCGGGGCGATATATTTAGACTTGTTTTGGTTTGAGCTTCCTAATTTCGTTTTCACTTGACGGCGGGCCTGTTCTGTAAAACAAAATACTTGAAAAGAAGGGAACAAAGTTTAACATACAAGGGTACCTAATATTGATTTTTTTTTTAGTATTTATGAGGCAGCATTTGAGAAGAAATTTTAACCAACTGCTTGCAAGAAGTATAACAAGAAATGGAAAAAACTTTCTGTGTATGAAAGAATATATATGAAAAATTCCAATTGTCATAATTCACTAACTTTATTTTTGGAATTTCCCTCCGACCTCATTCAGTAATATTAAGTCCAGGATGCTGGAGTTGTTAAGGAGAAACCTTTATCGTTTTCCTTTTTAGGTATTGGGGATTGAAAATGCGTATTGTGACGCCAATTACTACGGTTCACATTTGTGCGGGTAGGTCCCGTGCCCATAGTTAGTTGTTTCGCCCAATGTTCATTCCTTTCAGCCAAAGAAATGGAAGTTTTGCTTTAAACCTCGTTTGTGTTCCACTGTTGTACTCAGTAAGTTTAACCGTTCTTTCAACAATAACAAAAATACCAGAAATCGTGGCCCACTCGCAGCAATTCTTATGCTAACTGCTCCCGCCGTAGCCAGTGTTTGCAGGTCATTTGCATTTGCGTCATCGCCGTGCGACCGTCCCGTACACTTCCAGAAGGTTCCTTCCACAATCACGTGGAGAGTACGCGTGCGCTCGTGAAGTCATTACGTCATGTCTAAATATAGACTCAACGACCTGACTCGACACTCCTGTTCTAGTCTTTGTGTGGTCTATGTGTATCTGTGTGAACAACGGAGCAACTGAGGACAAGGAAAATACGCAAATGTACAGCCTGAAGACTGAAGAAAACTATCAGTAAAGAGCTTGAAGACTGTGGGCTCCAAAAAGATTCGATTCATCGCAGGAGTGGAATTGCAGCGTTAACAAATTAGGGGGTTTTCGTCGTGTCGGGCGAAATATCCTGACCGGCGTTTTTATCGCGTGACCTACTCTCTACTTCTTGTGGACTATGATGAAATCACTCAACTGCTGAATCAGGCGAGCTAACGCAAAGCCGTGTGCGTGATTTCGGAGATTGCTGGACTACGTACGAATGTTTAGGTTTGGAAATAAGTAACTTTGCCATATTGACGAGACAAAGAAGCAAAGCCGATAATACAGTTGTGGTCGATTGTTTGGTTGAGATGAGTTGAGATTTTTCCTGGACTGGGCTTAGTCATGTTAGTTGGGTCTTTGTGAGGAACTTGATTTGTAAGCTCCTATCCTGCAACGGTTGCTGAGTTAGTGTTTGTTTACAACTGCCTCAGTTCTCACCATGCATCGTAAGAAACCCTGGCGAGATCCATTTCTCACATTGGCTGTTATTTTGAGTCTCCTCCGGGTTGACTGGGATGATTATATGCAGAGACAACTGGGCTCACAATTGCCAGAGATCCACGAAATACTGCTTGGACAAAGCGCTGCTCTGACTGAGACGCAGTTCCACAATCTCTACAATTCTTTAGACGGTAGCTATGTGAATTTCAAGAATTTGGACTATGATCTCCACAGCCAGTCGGCTTTTAGAGAACTCAACTCGCTCTCCCACGGCCTCTACCCGGTCAGCCGGGATTTTAGAGAAGTTTCCACATGGCTGTTGGATCGACTGGAACCCAATAATGTCAGATCTTTACCCCTTGTCAACGTAGCATCTGCTCCGAATAACAACAACAACAATGACGAAAACAACAATAATGGCGAGGCTTCGGAAGGAGAAGCCAACGGTCCAGCACAAAACACACTGGATGGTGCTGTTGCTGTGACGCACAGCGGCCAAAACATTGTTGATCTGAGTCCAGAGGTACTCAAGTGAAAAATTGTCTTTGTTTCTAAAAATCCATAAACAGAATGAAATACAGGCCAAAGAGAACCATAAGTCAGACCCTTTTTCAGTACTTCGCTGGAAATTTTGTATTATTTCAAGTTTTGATCAGGGTTTTCACTTGTGTAGCCACGTTTTCCCCTATTCAAAGGAGATTCGTAAAAGGGGCATTGTCCTTTGTGCCAATATCATAAGATTTAGCAAAGCAAAAATCCCTCAATTAAAAAATCCAAGCTTATTAAAAGTCTTCAGTTTGGAAACTACTAAAGCAGACAGCATTGTTATCAGAAAATGTACACGTAACCAGTAGTCTCTTTTGTCAACAGCCAAACACAATTGCACACTATTCAGCCTTTCTGATCTTACAGGATGACCTTAAATGATTCACAGAGCTGTTGTCACATTGTCCATTACTATTCAGCAGATCCAACCATTCTTCTTCAAGGTTGGAATTTTCCTTTCACAGGTTACCTTGCCTTTCTGTGGGTGTCCTTTCGTTTGTTTCTTGTTGTGAAGCTTTCTTTGGAGCATTTCATCTTATTAGACTGACAGGAATTCTTCACACACTGGCAGTAAAAGTGGACAATGTATATTTGTGTATTTTTCAATCAAATTTTCTGTCGCGTGATTTTCTTGAATGAGAAACCATAGATACAGTCAGGGAATTCCAAATTTCATGGAAGTACAAGTTTTCCCAACTGATTGTGATGCAGGCGTGGTGAGGTTTTGATGCAAAAATCTCATGATACTTTCATTTCTGTATTTCTCTCGAACACAGGATATGGACCTCATTGAGGCTTTGTGGAGACAAGACATTGACATGGGTATTTGCCGGGAAGAGTCCTATGCCTTCAAGGAAGATCTACTGGTGGAGAAAGGAGAGCACGCAGACAAGCTGAAACCCCAGCAGCAGTCGTGGGACCACTTCGGCTACAACATCGACGGAGAGACGGGAGAGTACGTGCCCAACCCGCCGGGGCTGGAGGTGGTACAGCCCCAGACACCCCAGCCAACCCTACCTCAGGTCCCAGTTCAGCCAGATGGGAACATCTCCCTGGAAGACTGCCTGCAGCTCCTTGAGGATGAGTACCTACCTGCTGTGCCCCAGACTGATGCTGAGCAGCATCAGGCCCAGCAACAGCAGCAGCCTCTGAGCCCCCAGGAGCAAGAGCAGCGGTGGGAGGACCTGGCCTCCATTCCCGAACTCACCCGCCAGCTCCACGAGCTCCCCGGCCTGCCTTACCAAGCCGCAGTGGACATGAACATAACACAACCGCACACCACCCAGGATGCCTTTGCCATCAACGCCACCACAAACGGCAACGTGAACCTGCAGAATGCCACGCTGGCTGCCAACCGGAACGTGCTGCCTGTCGAGCTGCAGCGGCTGTACGAGTTCGTCCAGCCGCCAGAGGTCTTCTCCCCGTTGTCCAACTTTGCGAACCTCAGTCTGAGCTCGACGTCACCGACGGGGTCGATCAATGGCCAGCAGAACCTTAACTTCTCTAGCTTCCTCCTGCCAGACCAGACGTTCTCACCAACCCTGGAGACACCCATGCCAAATGCCACTGACAACCAGGACAACTCCTCTCTACTGATGGAGCTACTGAACACATCCAGCGTGGGTGAAGTGGATCCCATGGATGTGGACTTTGACGAGCAGATTCAAAATGTCATGCAGGCATTCGGAGAGACCAATTCCACTTCCTCGTTCGAGGGATCATGTAAGTAACTATCTTGAAATGGCATGGAATTCATAGCAGCAGACTTTTGAGGCGCAGACGTACCAGTCCTTCACAGTATTATGCGTGCTCAGGACGACGCATGCCTGCTCAGAACAACACACACATGCTCAGAACTGGTAAAAAGGACACCAAGCATATCAAAGTCTCCCAATGAAGTAATGACTTATTTTTCAGAACCTGTTTGGCAGTTGTTACGGATTTTTGTGAAGAAAAATCAATTCTGACATTGATCAACCATTTTCCTGATGATCTAAGTATGGTGATCAGACACCAAACACATAGATTTTTGTACATGTATTTTACAAAAAAGTCCATCTTTCTATTGTAAATAGTTCTAGGACTCCAAGTATCCATGCTGATTGCATTTATATTAACCACTCATTTTTTTCACTAATATGGAAGTAACTTATTGTTCTGTTGACTATCATTTACAGGCTCTGGATTTGAAGATATGAGTGACGGGAGTTCCCCGTACCACACCAGCGATGATGGCTTAGAGGGTGCTACAGGTTACAATGCCAGCCTAGATGGAAATGGCCTGAACGGGACATCCAGTGGCTATGGCTACCACAGACAAAGAGGTGAGAGTACAGATCAAACAGGGACATACCTTATCTGGCCTTGGGAGGCCCGCACTGGTCTAGTAACCAGGCTGCAGGGATGGTGAAAGATGACATAACAGACAAAGGGGCAATATCTTGAGGGAGGTTAAGAGGGGATTGACGAGTGAGGATAAGGATCCTTTGCATTTTGTTTTTAGGGCTAGGGCTAGGGCTTAGCAGTGGGAGAGGTTTTGGTTGGACATTTAAAGCAAAATGCAAAATAGAGAAATGTCTTCTACTGCCTGTAAGCAAAATGTCTGCCCATTACAATTTTAGATCTTTCTTCAAGGATTGATTGGAGTCAAGTGGTCTTTTGTTTCATTGATTTAAATGATAAATTGCTGTCAATGCCCTTATTGGTTGTAGGTGGTTCAAGTTGTGGGGGTGACAGTGACAGTGGAAGTTCTTTCAGCAGTTACAACAGCCAGTCCTCTAAGCCCGAAAATGTCAAGCACAACCATACCTACGCCTCATCCTCGAGTTCTCCCACCAGCACCCGCAGCAGCAACAGCAGCAAGAGCAGCTCCACCAAGAAGGACAAGCAGAACGTGGTCAAGCTGTCGCGCGACGAGAAGCGAGCCCGCTCCCTCAAGGTGCCAGTGCCCATCGACAAAATCATCAACCTGCCCGTGGACGCCTTCAATGACATGCTGAAGAAGTACGAGCTGAACGACGCCCAGCTGACGCTGATCAGGGACATCCGCCGCCGCGGCAAGAACAAGGTGGCGGCCCAGAACTGCCGCAAGCGAAAGATCAATGCCCTGGTGTCGGTGGAGGTCAACATCGACAGCCTGAAGGTGGAAAAGGAACAGCTGCAGCTGGAGCGCGAACAGATCGACAAGGAGACGTCCGACATGCAGGCACGCTACGAGCAACTCTACAGTGAAGTCTTCCAGAGCATGTGTGACGAGCACGGCGATCCGGTAGACCCTAACGAATTCACCCTGCAACAGATGCCAGATGGTAGCATGTTCCTTGTCCCAAGGAACAGCACCGACCTGGACAAAGACAAGAACACAGAGAAATAGACTCTGACTGGTGCACGGACATGAATGCACTTGCACACCTGATCAGACAAAGCCTTAAATGTCAAGAGAGATGGCACAGTATCAAGTATCACTAAGCTTGAATTGTAGCATGTATGTACGCTCCTCCTCTGTAGGTTCTTTTGAGTTACATAATTTGTCTTGTCGTTTTGTTTCAATTGGTTGGTAGAGTTCTTGTCAATTGGGATGAAATACAAAATGCAAAAATACTCCATATGGTGACTTTAAAGTTATTCTTAACAGATGATTCGCATTGACACTGTCAAGATTTGATTTATGCAAGCATGGCTTACTTTTTTTTTCAATGAAAGGAAGTATATGCAGAATCGGTCACCTTTCTATTTTACCTTGCTCTTTTCATGGTAGCGATTGAAATTAAAATATATCTTGTACAGCGTTCAGAGAAATATACTGTAAATAATGTGCATATTTTGTAAATAGCAGCAGTCTGTAAATATGTACAAATATTGAAGTAAGTTTGTTTGGTCCAGTTGTTCACACTACCTCTTAACGTACTGTTTTGAATATCACAAAGAATGTTTTTTCCTGAGTTGTAATGGCGAGGTCTGTATGTGAATTTTTCCCATCCGTATCGAGAAGTTTGGCACGTAACATTCAGCATCAGCAATGCAGACTTGTCCTCTCTTGTCTAGGATAAAATCATGCTAAGTTTTTGCATGCCGTTGCAACCAAATGGGCGTCAATAAACTATTGGTGTCATGGTTTGATATTTAATGGATACTTTGCGGGGAAAAGAGAGAAATTCAAAATGGTATGAAGCCTTATTTATTGTGAACATTTAGTCCAAACAGTTTATTATCAAAGAAAGATTTATTGTAACATACTTAGAGTACATGCCAGTAGATTTTATGGCACTTGTCTTGCAGGCTCATTTGCCATTTCTTTGTTTACAACAAACAGCTGGATATTACAAACTGGTAGACAGCTGTATTTTATATGATTTGTAATCTTTATTGTTTGCAATGTGTAAATTCAACTCTGCATTTCATGCAAAAGGATCAAAATGATTGTGTCTTTTCAGCTTAGCTGTGTGCGTATTTGTGCTGGTAAATATTTTGTCTTTTCTGTTGGCAGTAAATTTGAAATGGAGTCTGCAATTTTGCTGGTAGCTGTCTTTGTGCTGTTCTTCCAAATAGTTCCATGTAAAGATTATTGTTTCGACTTTTTGTGCATGTACACAAAAACTTCCTTTTTTATGTTGTGCTGTAATAAGGACAATCTATTTCTGACTGACAAATGCATCGTTATCTTATAAACCACTTTAAAGAAGAAAAAAAATTATCGCTTCCCACACTAAGATATAAAACCTGATTAATATGTGGGTTTTGTTTTGCTTCTTTGACAAGTTGAATAAAATTACCACGAAATCTCAATGCTTTGTGTGTCTGTATATACTCCTTGGACGTGTTTGAGTTCAAAAGCGCAGAGTTAGAAAGTTTAAGTCTCTTTTCCTGAGGGAGAAAGAAATACATTTTTGTTGAAAGACTAACAGATCATACTGTATACCCACACCTTCCCCCTCCTATTAACAACCACCATTTTAATAGTTCTGGAAAACTACAGGGTAATGACACAGCAAGTGACCACTTACACGATGTTCATTTACATAATGGATCCTTCAGTAATATGGTGGATAAACACTGGTACTCTGATCTTGAGGGTAGTCACACACTACCATGCAGTGATCTAATACCAAGATGACCAAACATTATGTCTGCATTTATGAATCATCTGGGTAAAGCAACCCTGACCCCACATATCCTCAACATGACTGGTCTCTGGCAATACAAAGTAGCAACACAGTACAATCTCAGACATGGTGTCGACCGATAAGTGTGGACAATGGAACCTTGTGGTTACACTCTTACCGTAGACCACAGACCTGACCTCAAGTGAGGACAGGCAATGTCCTCAAAGCTTCTGGCACAACTGGATGCCATGTGTCCTCACAACTCCTCTGAAATTTGACTGGCCTGCTTCCCATGCATGTGGACGGAGGGAATCCATATTTCTACAAAAAATATCTACTTCTCCGCTGATACTTGTCAAAGTCCCCACGATGGGATATCGCACCAAAGGTTCACCACCACAAGTTATAACTATTTAGCAAAAACTGTTCTCACACCCAAGTTTTGAGAGACACCTTGTAGCTGTGTTCGGATTTCTCTTGTACAAATCAGGCTGGTACCCATGCAATCACAGTCCAGTTTCAAAGCCCTTCTTACCACGAATGAAAAAGGACCATACATGTATGCTTTTCGCTATTTACACGCTGCCGCCATAGGCATGGAGAGCCTTGAACTGGCAACTTGTACAATCGCTTCAGAATTGTTTTATCCAATTGCATGGTAGAAGAACTAACTCGGCATGCACAAAATTACATAAGCAACATGCACAGGAATCAGTGAACCAGTTATTTTTATTGTGTAAACCTGCCAGATCGAGGCTCTGCATGCCTATGGTGGCAGCATGCAAAGAGCAAGTAGCAGAAGAACCAGCTCCAACCGCATATTTCTAGGGCATAAGAATGACTGTCTTACATACATCCCATAATGCTTTTGGGTATAGGGGCTTCATGCAGAGTTCCAATGCTATACGTACAGCGTAGAACTGCAGACCATTACTGCAGACTTGTAATTAAGGCATCCTAAAATGAAATTGGACGAGGATATAATGATACATCCATTAACACTGAGTGACTGGTAATAAGTCTTACCCTACGTATTAATTAAGAAAATGATGGATCAAGTCGCATCTCCACCCCAACACTTCCTGAATAATAACAGACAAGTGAGGAAGCCCTCTAGAGCAGCACACATGAATGGCATGATTAATCATTATATGCATACTACCTGTGCACATTCCAGTCCATCACGAAGTAGACAAACGTGCACAAGATAACTTTGACCAAAAAAACTGTGATCCAATCATAAGCGTAATGAACTCAGAATTATTGCACATATATGCCACGTTCATGAATAATTCATATCGATGAGACATGCCGCTCAAGACTTCCTCCGTCCACTCTCGGGAAAGCAGCATAAATCAAATCCGTTACTACAGTACTAGTTCGCAGTTCTCTCGGAACAAAAACTTTGTTCAGGATAAATAATATATTTCAAATAAATGTTCAGTACAAATGAATGACGATGATGATATGCACAAAAATATTAAAAAAATATGATAAAATCACAACAGACTTTTATTGCTTTTCATTAAACTGTTAAAAATGTTTTCAAATCGGTGATAATTAAGAAAAACTGAATAAATTCAATTCTTACATAACAATTACACCCGAGTATCAAATGCTGCAAATATCCTCATACGTGTTGGAGGCAAGCATAAACTTCAGACATCATGCCCTGAACATCTGTATGGTCAAATTTCTTTTTGGTGAACATGTTGAAGCAGGAATTTTGTTATTGCAACACAAACCGGCAACAGGGGTGACAAAATGCCTATTTTACCAAGCTTGACATACATGCCAAGGGTAATCGATGTTTGTGTGCACAGTCTCTTTTTTATTGCAAGGTATGACAGCTCCCCCCACACAAATTTATTTTTAAAAAATTAACAAAAATTCAGCACTTAAGAAGTGCCTACATGGGTCACTGCTTCAGTCTGTAGATGGATTCGCTATTTGGTCATCTCGGACACCCTGGCATATATCTCTGCACTTCAGTACATGGCGATCTCCAAAGTGAGCCTCACTTTCTTTGCCATACTTCCTTTACTGAAAACCAGTGGCTAACTTTAGATTCACAGCAAAATGCCAGAGAGGTTCATTCCCATAGCAACACCATTTTAAATATTTGGCAAACCAAGAGACGGGCCAGGACACTTCAAATATGCCAATCTGTTATCCGGGCTACTTACTCTTGTAAACGGAAGTAGGGTAAATCATAGAGGAGGGACACAGGAGTTGCAACTCAGGCACTTCAAAGCGTCCAATGATGGTCCCTGCCCAATCAGACGAATAATAGAAAACATTCCAAAACTGCCTGATTACTGCCTGCATCTTAGCCGGACAAGTGGGGCCAGTAATATCCTGGCAATACTTGTAGTGTTTTGCTTGCAATTGAATACAAATTATTGATGTGGCCAGGAAATAGAGAAACATCCCTGATATTAGACCTACTTTTGCCATCGTAAATAAGCTATTAAAATTTTGATACACTGTTCCATTATGCAATGTTTGTAAGTTTATTCTCCTCCGTCCAATACATCAGTGTTCAAAGAATTGTTATGAATTTGGCTAAGACTGGCCAACAAAATGTCCACTACTACTGGAAAGCTGACTTCGTTAGGAACAAAATGTGCTATTTCATCACAGGGAGTGATCATGAAATCTCATAAAATACATTTTTGTACAAATGCCATAATAAAAACAATTCAAACAAAACAGAAAATCTTGTAAACAAAATTGCGGTGGTGATCAAAGGGGTTTTGTGGTTGTGAAACTGATGGTGCATAGCAAGCATTCGCTGTGCTCTGGCTATGCACACACCTGGCATGCCAGAAAGGGGTAATTGGCCAGATGTTACAGCCCGGGCAGTTCAAACTCCTTCCGTGTCCTTCCTCTATGGGTTAAGCTTTGTTTGCATGTGTGCTTTCCTATGGGAATCAATGGTGATGGAAGACAGGGAAGGTAGGCCAGGGAGCATGCCCCCCCCCACACTTTTGGCAGGCCATATAATAGGGTGGAGCTTAATGGATTGGTCTATTAATGTCCGATACCCAACTCTGAAAACGGTTCCCTTGCTACTGATGGGAAACAGGTGGGGAGGAGAGATAAGAATTAAGGATGGCACCATCAGTACATGAATGTAATGCCATTCGTCCCATTGTATTTCCACCTGTTGAAATAAATATGTCCCCCGCTCTTTTTAAACTTTAGATCCTCCTTTTTACCTTTTTTTCGCTCTTCCACCCTGGGTTTCTTAAAGACAGAGGGCTGCACTGCACAATGAGTTGCTCACCTATTCAGGGTTCTCAAAGAAATCTGTAACCACATTCAATGACTTTTCCAGAACTTTCAAGGATTAAATGTGACAATTCTTCCATGAGGTTTAGCGCCATTTTACATGTATAAACTGGGAGACTGCCATGGCCACTACTAAGAGCCCTGAGCTGCACAAAGAGAGGGCGCAATTTTACTAGCAACAGCAGCTGCTTTGGTCCCTAGCAACAGCAGCTGCTTTGGTCCCTAGCAACAGCAGCTGCTTTGGTCAGAACTGCACTTCGCTGGTTCACAAATAGCTATGAAATGCACGCATTACGGGTGCATTGCCGCCAGCAAATGAACACTCCCAACCAACATGGCTCATTTCAATCCATGAGGGGGTGCTTCTGCTCAACGCAGATAGTTTCACAAGGATAGACCCAATAACTGTCTCGCTATTCTATTATCTCCTCAAAAGCTGCCCACCAAAATTAATTGTCGCATGACCATGATTTCCACGACTTTTCCACAACTGTTTTTCTTCCTTGACTTTTCCGTACCTTTCTAGAATAACTTTTCCAGGATCTTCCATGACCACGGGAACCCTCCTATCACTTCAGGAATTCTCCTCAAATACTTCATCGTAAAATGAAGCAGCAAATATTTTTCCTAAATCTTGACCGTTTCGTTTGATAAAGAAGACATATTTCTAAGTCAAGGCACCGGCGAAATTGCATAGAAGTTTCTACATTAAACCTTGTTGCAACAACACAGTAAACTTTCATATCTTCACTGTCAATAAAATATGTATAATCTTCAAATATATAACAAAGAGAAAATTTTTCATAGGTCTCAATTGATTTTTGGGAAGCTAATTTTGAAAATGAAAGTTTACACTACGCACAGCAAAGAGGAAAGAAAGGGCTGTTTAAAAAAGGGTGCATGTTAAATAAATAAAACTGTTCCATTAAAAACAAATAAGGTGACAGCATTGCATTTCAAAATATCACTCTGTTTCCATGTCACTGTCACTTGTCATTCTGCCACTGCCATCGTCACTGGAATCAAGGGTCAAAAGTGACAGGTCATCTTCATAGGCTGATGACTCAGCTCGGCTCACGTGATCTTCATCACCCAGAACAAATTGGGCAAATCTGGGGCGGAGGGGAAGACAAAAAGAATAAGATTATAGGGTTCGATTCCCTGGTGCTACAATGTCTAGCAATAGTCAGGGAAAGCACTGTGAGGTTGGGTGCTCATTTATGACGGAATATAAATGCGAGTGATTTCATCATGACTTTGTGGAGACGGGCCATGGTACACGTGGAATTCACCACTGGTTTCATAAAATACTGATGGCAGATGGGGGGCATCCCTCCGCGTTTCTGCAGGTCCTACATATAAAGTGGGGTTTACTAGACATGCTAGAGCTACCTATTATGGCTGATGCCCGACGGTCTTACAACTCTCCCCCCCCCTCTGAAAATCATTCTGCCATTGTACTCATGAAACAATAAGAAAGCCTGTACAATGTTTCTGTCTTATCGATATGTATTTGCCACTGTACATACATTTTATACTCGTCAGGGGAAACTGTCAGTTTGTTGGATCCCGGAACCAGACTCATTCAAACATAACGGTTCATGCATCCATGAGTGACTGAAAACAAAACTGATATGACATGACATATATATGTACTGCAATACAGTACAAAAGCTATGCTGCTATACATCTACACAGTGACCAAAAACTCACAATGAGGCTGAGTTCGGGCGGCTTGTTCCCGTATGTTCACGAACAGCTCGATTTGTTGTTCGTGGGTCGGCCGCTCAAACGCCGGGAACAAAAAACCGGTTATTACAAGCAACATGCAACATGGCGGCGTCCATGTACGTTATTCGAGAGTTAAGGTTTAGATGGGCTGAATTCTTTTCTATACAAACAGGAACATTCATTTCTGTGTTTCGGAAAATAATTAATGTTAATTTTGCAAAACTTCCCATTGTCCACATGGTCTATGGCTTTGGAAGCCATCTCTTTACTTTTTGCAGCTGTTCAAAAATCAAAA